CTGAGCTGCAGGGCAGGACGCTGGTCAGGACAGTGCCAGGGAAGGACCCTGGTCTCTATACCTGACACAGATGACGGCGGGGGTGGCTCTTCTGAGTGATGGGGGAGGCAGCTGAGGGGCTCCGTTCCTGGTTACCCCTCCCCGTCCCCGCCTGTGCCCCTCTCCCCTCTCCAGTGCAAAGCTAAGGGGAGGGGGCCCCAGTTTTCTCACCTGTGGGATGGTGAGAAGGCTGTGCAGGGCCTTGCTCCTCCTGGCAGGTATTCTGGTCGGGGGCTCTCTTGGGGTTCACAGGACAGAGGGCTGCAGCCTTCAGGTCTGAGCAGTCCTGCCTCGGGGTCCTTGAGGGGCTGCTGGGTGCCTGGGCCCCCCTGAGCCCAGCGGAGGGAGGAGGGGACTGGAGAGCAGCAGGTGTGGCTGCCCTGATCGATGGTAGTTTAGCCACCAGTGGAGGGACGGAGGGAGGGCAGGTGGGGACCACAAGGGCTGCTGGTCCCCAGGCAGGTGGTCCCAGGAGGGAAGTGGGGTAGACAGTGGGCAGAGCTCTGTAGCTGGGAGGCCGCAGTGCAGGGGGTCAGAGGGAGCTGCCCCAGCCCCACCCCACCCTATTTCCCTCCTGGAGCGCTGGGTGAAGACCCCCCAACCTGTAGAATGCCCCCTTTCCCCCAGGCCTTCCGTTGGCCTTCAGGAACCTCCCTGGAGACCATTTAGCCCAACCCTTCATTGTGCACGTGGGGAAATGAGGCCCAGGGCCAACCAGCCTCCTGATCGCTCCCTGCTGGGACCTCTTCAGGCTGGGATCGCTCCCTGCTGGGACTCCCCCCGACACCTGCAGCAGCGTCTCCCCCACATTCCGGGCTGCAGCTCCAGCCCCTCCCCCCGCACCTTACCCCCCCACCCCCACTCCTGCGTAAACCTCCTGTGGTTCCTCTAGGTGCTCGGGACAAGCCCCAGCCCCAACGAGCCGGGTGCCCACCAGAGGCCCCGCCCACCCGCCTCCACGAGGCCCCGCCTCCACGCTTGGAGGCTGCTGGAACCCGGGCTCCATCAACCTCCAGGAGCCCCAGGCTCTTCCTGCCTCTTCCCCCGCCCCTCCTCTCTGTCTGGCTCCTCCTGTGTCCTGTTCCGGGCTCTGGTGTCACATTTTCTGAGTCGCATCCCGGACCCCAAGCCCAGGTTAGGCCCCTCCTCTGGGCTCCTGAATCCCCAGAGACCGACTCCCCTTTCAGGCCCAGAGACCAGGAACCAGGAGACTTCCAGAGGCTCAGGGAAGTATTTTAATGTCTTTTAAAATCAGGAGAAAAACCTGAATTTTTAAGAACAAGAAAATGCTTTCATATATAATATTAGTGTATTTGTCTTTAGACCAACACAACCATAAGATCTAATTTTCACTCTTTTTGTTTTTTACGGAGGAAAGGACTTGGGAGGGCAAAGGGCCTGGGCTCACCCAGGTCACACGGCAACCTGGTCCCGGAGCCGCCTGACCCTGGGCCGGCCATGCTGGCACCCTTGCCTGGGACCAGCCTGCCTGCCTAGACCCGGGCTCCCCTGGGCTGGACGCGGTGACAGCACCGTCCGGGTGCCGCTGTCCCACCGAGGCCCTCGAGGAGGCCACGGCTACCAGCTACCTCCTTGCCTCTTCCTCCTGGCCCGTCCCCCTAAAGCCCGTGGGGGCCCCCAAGCGCAGCAGGTGGGTTCCCATCCTCAGGGGGCGGGCCTGCTGGTACCAGGCGGGCTTTGAAGCAACCAGAGGTCCCGTAAACTGGGTGATGGGGATGGTTAACCCCCAATAAACCCAGAAAGGAAAAGGGCCCTCACTGGAAGCAGCCGGGGAGTGGCTGAGGGTGTTGGAGAGGCCCCTGCTGGCCTGGTACCTGGGTGGGAGGGCATGCCCAAGCCCGCCTCCCCTGGGGCCTGGTCAGCCTGTGGGGCGAGGGGGGGCGATGGCCCTACTGGACCCAGTGCGGAGGCGGGCGGTGGTGTGTGTGTGTGGTTCAGCACCTCATCCATCTCCCCGCAACTCCATGGTGTGGGACTCACGAGCGCCCCGTTTAATAGCTGGAAACTGGGGCTCCCCAAGCCACACAGTGCCAAGCGCGCGGAGCCCTCGTGTGCCCTAACCACGAAGCCACACTGCCTCCTTCGGGCAGGGTCTGGGCACCCTGCCGTGGGCCCTGACTTGGGGCTGGGCCCGGCCTCCTGTCCGCAGCCCCAGCACAGCCCCTGGACACTCCAAGTGGACTTTCCCACGTCCCAGGTGTGGGCTGGGACAGCATGGGGGCAACCAAGCCCCGCGGGGGGTGCGCAGCTGTTTCTCCAGCTTTCCTATGAGAAAGGGCTGCTCCGGCCACGTCCTCGTGCACCGCTATCGGAAGCCAAACTCAGAGCTGGGGAATGTCAACACCGCAGGCACCCCACCTGGCATCTGGTGCCCGCGGGAGACCCCTCCGAGCTGAGAGGCTCGGAGAAGTGGGCAAATATTGTCAGCCCCTCCCACCCCGCTGTGACCTCCAGCCATGTGTGAGCTCTCGATGGGCAAACAGGAGGCGATAAGGCCCAGAGATTAGAGCTCCGAATAAACACAGCTTCTTCCCCCCAAGCTCGGGGTGCCCAGACTCAGCTCCTGGGAGGCTCAGGGAGCCCGAGTTGGTGGCTGCAGGGGCCCAACAGCCCAGATGGCCCCCCTCCCACCTGGGGGCCCAGATCCGGCTCCGACACCCCAGCTCGGTGGTCCCCGGCGTCTCCCCCGACGTCTCCCCCCGCCCCCGTGAAGCTGCCCCATCCACTCAAGGCAGCCCCCGCCCCATAGGCTGGTGGTGTTGGGATCAGGCTGAGGTCTGTCTCCAGCACGGCTGACTGGGCTTCGGGTCAGACTGCCTCGGGTCGTGCTGTGTACGTTTGGGTATCACTGAGCCTGTCCGGCCCGGTTCCTCGTCCACGAAGCAGGGCGGGCGCGCTCCGCCTTTCAGGGCTGGCTGGAAGACAAGGTGGTGGAGGTGGCACGCTGGCTCACACGCTGGAGGTGGCATGGGTCCCACCAGGCTGAGCAGGCCTCCTGCCTCCACACCAGCCAGCCTTGGCCCCCTCGGCGCCCCCAGGCCTGCACACTGGTCTCCCTCCTGCATCCGCTCTAGCTGGTCTGCGGACCTTTGAAAGTGCAGGGCCAGGAAGGGACACAGCATCCAACAGCGTGGACCGTCACCTTCCCGATCCCGGGGGCTGGCCCCTGCTGATGCAACCCAGGATGGTCTCGGCCTGGGGGCTGAAGAAGCAAAGAGCCAGAGGTGGACAAAGCTGGAGTTGGACGTCAGCAGAGATGAGGCTGGTCTGTGCCTGGATCGGGGCCGGTCTGGTTGGGGTCAGGGGCTGGTCCAAGGCTGGGGTGTGTGCTCAGTTCACGCCTGTGTCAGGGCTCAGTCTGGGGCTGGCGTGAGACGTCAACCTGTAACTGGGATCAGAAGGCAGCCCGTGGCTACAGTCAGGGGCATCTGCACCTGGGATCAGGGCTCAGCCAGGGCTGGGGCTGGAGCCCCATCTTCACGGCCTGCGTCCGCCCCCAGCAGCTCATCTGCTCCGCAGCAGCTGAACTTTGCTTCCTCTTTGGATCAGACCCGCCTTGGCCGGCGCCCAGCCGCTGATTCCTGGGGGAGAGGCCCTGTTCCCGCCAGTCACATTCCCACGCCTGCCTGGGGGGTTGCCAGGGTGTCGAGGGGCTGCCTCCCAGGGGGCCTGCCTCTCCGTCTCCCCAGCCTCCGATGGCAGCTGGTGACTCCTGCGGAAGGAGCTCTTAAGCTATGGGGCCCTTTCCCCAGAGCCCCGCGCCCCAGGCCCTCCTTCCTGCCCAGAGAACGGCCTGCACATCACGGCCAGGAAGGCCCGGGGCCTCCGGGGGCCCAGCTTGGCCCACGAGCCCAGCCGTGGGCTTGCACCTCCCTGGGCCTCAGTTTCTCCACGTGACAACAGAACTGAGGAGGGTCTGTCCAGGGCGCCACTCCGGCCTGTCCCATGTCCCACTCTACCCCCGCCCCCCATTTCGCTGAGGCAAATGGGACAGGCCAGGTACTCATGCCACCCTCCTGGGGACCACCCTCGGCCTGGGTTCCCACTAGCCCTACAGGGGTGGTGCCCAGAGAGGATCCGGTTTTGTCTTTACAGCCAGAGGCCCACACCAGGACCTGGTGGGTTGAGGGGAACCACAGGCCGGCCTGACCTCAAATGAAATGGATTTGCTCAGGGGCCAGTCTGTCACCGGGGGGTTAGCCCCGAAGGGACTGGCTGGAGGCGGGGGCCCTGCTGGAGGGGGGCCTCCCCCCAGCTCTCAGCGGGAGAGTGAACCTCACCAGTTCTGGCCAGAGAGATCCAAGGTCTTGTCCCGGGACTGAGTGAGGCTTGGAGGCCATCAGGCCTCTGTCCCCGCAGCACGTCAGCCTCGGGGGCCCTTAGGAATTCCTGGCCCTCTGTCCCAAAGTCACAGCCGTGACGCTGCAAAAGGCCCAGGACTCCCGAAGTGTGGATTTCTTGTCGGAGTCTCCCAGCAGCCCTGAGGTAGCTATGCTGTCATCCCACTCTCCAGAGGGGAAAACTGAGGTCAGCACTGCTGACCACACTGCAGACTCCGACAGCGTGCGGGGCGTGTGGGTGCACATGGGTGTCCCGACGAAACTTTACGATCCTCAATTTCCTCAGTTTCCAGCTGAGGACCAGAGCGGGGCAGGGCCTTGGCCCAAGCCCCTGGGTCCACCTCTAGGAAGGATGGGAACCCGCCTCCCCAAGCCCACCCATGCTCTCTGCCCTCCCCAGCGGGGGGTAGGTGCCAAGGTAGGCGGACGGACTGGGACACGGGCCAGATGTGGGCCGGGCCCCCTGCAGCTGCTCAGCTGGTGTCGCAACCCGGCTCCACCACTCCAGGCCGTGTCTTGACTTGCGGTGGCCCCTGCCCCCAGGCCCAGAGGAAAAGCCTCGCCCACCTTCCCGGGATGGGGTGACAAGTCCCAGCACGCAGGGTTCGCCATGCCAGCTCCGAGCGTGAGAAAACGCTGGGCCGAGGAGGAAGGTGTGGCAGGCAGCGGGGTGTGGGTGTCAGCTGGTGTCCACCCTTCTGCTGCCTGAGAGGAGGCCAGGCCACCTCCGGCCCCTTCCCTGGCCCTTCCCGGGACTGGCCTGGAGACCACGCCCACCGCTGGCCCCTCCAGGGCTGGCCCCTGGCAGCCGCTCCCTCCTACCCCATCGGTTGTCTCTAGCAGGAGCCTCAGCTGGGCAGCTTGGCCATGTGGCCAGTGGGGGTCTGCGGAGAGGAGAGCTGCTGGGACACTTGCCTCAGGCTCACCGAAGCCCGAGCCGCGCCGGCCCTTGGGGACAGGCCTGAGAGATGCCCAGAGGCCCTTCGAGAGACTATTGATCCCCGGCACAGGGGAGGACAGAGAGTCACCAGGCTCCCAGCAGTCCCTTGGGGCCCCGGCTCATGGAGGTCTGGTTTCTGGGTCTCTAGTTTGCCTGAGAGAAGGAGGGAGGAAGGAAGCGGGGGCCCAGAGCCAGGAGGGTGTGACCTGTGGGTGGGCACCTCCCTGACCCTGACTCCCAAGGGGGCATGAGCCAGCGGCGGAGCAGGAGTGCCATCCTCTGAGCCGCCAGCTGCAGTGGGCCCTGCCCGGGCATGTGCCGCCTCTCAGCACCTTGAGCTGCCTGGTGGGAACGGGATGGGGGAGAGACCCAGATGCCCAGCGGGGTCAGCGAGCGTGGGACCCCCTAACAGGCCTCCTGAGCGTCCTGGGTTTCCAATGTCCTGAGGGTCCAGCCGGGCCCCACAAAGGCCCCTCAGGGCTCCCTCAAGGCAGTAGGGAGATGCGGGCTCTTCCCATCTTCCCAGGACCTCTGGGGGGTGGCCCTTGAACGTCAGCACGACTTTCAAAGGGGGCTGAGCTGCCGCGGGAGCAGAGACACACCTGAGGGATGGGGCACGGCTGCACCAGCGGCTGGGGGTGCTACCCGGGCGGGGGCACGTGGAGGGGCTTGGGCTCCTGTACAGAGGGAGAGGTAAGGCCCGGAAAACCTGGGCTTTGTGTGAGGCAGGGAGGTGGGGGTTCAGGGCTGTGGGGCAACTGGGGGCTGCAAGGGTCCTGGGGGCTGGCAGAGGGACACGGTGCCGTCAGTTTGCTGACCCTGGCCCTGAGCCCCTGACCAGAGGCTCCCCTGCGCCCACCTGCTCCCTCCACCGCCAGCTTATTCTCTGCCCCAGTCCTGGGTGCCTTACCAGCAAAGCCTATCTCCCACAGCTCCAGGCCCCTCCCGCCCCCCTGCCTTCTACAGACCTCGGTGGGATTCCAAAGTGGTTTGATTCCGGCCCTGGCAGAGCCCACAGACCAACGGGCCGGGATGGTGGAGAGAAAGGTGTCCCAGGGACCAGGAAGTGGCAGCATGGTGTGACCAGGGTGCCGATGGGGAGGGCAGAGGCAGCAGGAACACAGAGCTCACAGGGAAAGTGAGACCCAAGCTGAGAGCCATGGCGGGGGCGGGGGGCAGAGGAGTCAAGCTTCATCCCTTGGGGTGGGGGGGCATGAGAGGGTGCGTTGCTCCAGGTTTAAGCCAGCACTTGAGGAGGGGCTCCACTTCGAGCTTTGGGAAGATGCCTCGTGTAGCAGGACCACTGCCCTGACGACTCACTGTCCCTTGAGCAGTGCCCAACCTGCACACACGTGCAGGTCGGCCCTGCCCGCTTCAGAGCAGAGAGCAGCCAGAGGGGCCTGGGCCTGGTGCAGAGAGGAGATTGCCTGCCTTCAGGAGGCTTCTGGCCGCAGGGCCAGCCCCCTCCTCCGCTGAGCCCACCTGTGAGGACCCTGCTCTGACAGGGACGAGGCCCGTGGCTTGTTTATTCCCCGTCACCACTGCTCCTTCACCATCTGCTGCAGAGGAAGGAAGGCCCCACCTGCGGTGGCCTGTGCTGGGAACAGGAAGCCAAGGGTATCAGGCCACCTGCCCACCTGCCCTCGGCCTGCCCACCCCCCCAGCACCCAAGAGGAGCAGGGGGGGAGGAAGACTGGGCCTGAGGCTGGACGGGTCCTGGGGTGTCCAGCTAGAATCTAGGGGCCCCCAGTGCCCACTCACCCACCCAGACCTGCTGCTTCCTCCCAGCTCTGATCACGCCAGTCCTGAGGAAGCTTCCTAAGGCTTGGACATGCCTGAGCGGGACCCACCATCTCCCCGTGGCACCCAGGGTCCCCTTCCCACAGACCTCACGGAACCCCTCCTCCCAGGAGACAAGAGTGGGGCCGGCACTGGAGAGGCAGGACCCGAACAGCCGCCCGGCCCCGGGGCAGCCCTGGGCTCCTGGCAGAGTCAGGACAGCTCGGCCCTCTCACCTGGGGAGCAGCGTGGTACCCATTCTCCTGCAGGAGGCGCCCCAGGCATCTGACGAGGGTCTTGGGCAGGCGTCCCATTCCCGGATGGGGAAACTGAGGTGCAGGGACTGGGTGGACTTGCCCAGCTGCCAGAGGGCCAGGGGCTGGTTTCTTCCACAGCCCTGGCCGGCTGGTGGGACAGAGGCTTTTGCTGGACAGCTCCGTGTAGAGGGTCCCGTCTCGGAGCCCCCTTACGTGGGAGGCAGGGCCAGGGCAGTGCCCATGGCTGCCCTCCTGAGAACCTGCAGGCACGAGCCATGGGTCTCCACGGGGTCTGGGACCGGCGGCCCCACCACGGAGAAGAGCTTAGTGGGACGGGCGGCAGGGGCACGTCAGGGCCTGAGCCCGAGATCGGGTTTCTGCGCAGCCCTCACGCAGTGTTGCAAGAGCTGGCAGGAAGGCTGGCCGCGGGCGCTGGGTGGGCCTGGGGTGGGGGCCCTGGAAGGCCCTTCACGTGGGAAGAGGGGCTTTCTGGGATCCCATTCTCCCAGGAACCCCTCTGCCCTCACGGGGCCCCAGGTGGGCGTGAACAGGTGTCTCCTTCTGCCCCCTGCCCCAGGCCACAAGTCATGCGCTGGGCCTGGCACAGGGGAGCCCCTGCCTGGGGCACGGGCTCGGGCCGGCAGGTCTCTGGCAGGGCCGTGCAGCTCTGGGAGCCCTGTGCAGGGGCGCGCCCGTGGCGGCAAGCACATCCCCACCGTCCTTCAGCTCCCTCCGGAGTGGAGAGCAGGCAGCCAGGCCTGCAGACTGTGCGGCCTGCATGGCAGAGGCCATCTGTGGGCAGGAGGCCGGAGCCCAAGCCCCAGTCTAGGCTCTGCTCAGACACACGTGGGTGTCAGGCAGTCCACGCTCTAAGTTTCCTCTCCAGCGGGACCCCCAGACTCACCCCGACAGCGCCCGCTGGGCTGAGCCTGTCCACCAAGTCCAGGGCCACCTCCCCGCTCCCTTCTCCGTGGCCACTGGGAGCCGGCCCTGCGGTGTGTTCCCAGCATCTATCTCCTCTCTGGGCAACTATCTCAGGCCGGGCGGGGCAGCTCCAGATACTGGGTGCGGGGGCGGGCTGGGAACGCCTCAGGCACCCCCGCCCCGTGCCCAGCCTGGGCCTGCTGAGGTCAGGGCTCAGTGGCCCCTGATAACCAGCCTGGCTGGGGGCTCTGGGCTCTGTATCCAGTGCCCCGCCAGGGGAGCCGAGATAACCAGGGTCCGACCAGCCCCTCCCAACCCCAGATCCGAGCTGGCCTGGGCCTGGGTGTCCTGGGGGGTGGGCTGCCGCCAGGAGCTGTGGGAAGAGCCGTCCTGTTATCCCCACATCGCCACCCCTGTGCCTCCCGCAGCCCGGCCTTCCCTGGCAGACCTGTGCCGAGGCAGGCCGATTCCTCACCTGGGCCCAACTCCTGTTGCCCTGGCCTTTGCCCATGGCCCCCTTGGCCTGCAGTGGTCTCTGCGGCTCCTCCCATGCACGGTCCACCCAGAGACACGCCTGACGCCCTCCCAGCCCTCCTCTCCCAACGCAGCCCCTAGGGCAGTCCCGGGCTGGTGAGCGGAGCCCTTTGTGACCCCCGTGTACAGAGGGGGGAAGGGTTTTGCTGCAGGGTGCACTTGGAAGAGGTGCTGACCAGGACTCCAGCCCAGGGCGCTCAGAGACCAGAGCCAGGCTCCGACTGAGGGCCAGGCTTCCTGCTCTATCCTGGGGGATCGAGGGCCCAAAGGGCAACATGATAGGGGCTGGGCTTGGACAGGCACCCTTGGAGGGAGGACAGTGGCCACTTGTGCGTGGGTGGGGAGGGTGGCCTAGCCCCTGGGAGACCCCAGGGAGGAGGCACTGGAGCTGGGTGGGGGATGGTGAGCGTGGGCCTCAGTGTTCGGAAGGGTAGTGGCGGCTGGGGTCCCATTGGCCAGCTCAGGTGGGGGTGACGTGTGGCCGTGGCTCGCCCAGGCCACCTGGGCTAGAGGGCGGCCTCCTGGGTGACCCGTCGGCCTGCCCGTTGCGTGCGGCCACAGGCAGCCGCTTTCCGGACCCCAGGTTCATTGCACAAGCTCACGAGGTCGTCGGCACCACGGACCGGGTTGCACCACTAGGTTCCCAGCCTGGCTTCCTCTTTGCTCTGTTGACGGCCTCCCAGAGGGTCAGCAGCTCTCCCGGCCGGGAGGGTGTGGATCTCCGAGCCCTTGGCAGGTCCCAGAAGCTGCTTCCTGGGCTCCTGAGATGGGAGTGTGTTTGGGGGGGGGGGCGTGCAGAGCATGGACCGGCCTCGGTCTGCCCAGGGCTCAGCCTCCAGGTCGCCAGGGCTTACCAGTGAACCCTGGAACACGACAACTCTTGGGCCCATTGTGCAAACGGGAAATAGAGGCACACAGAGAGAGCAGAAGCCCTAATACCTTCTTGTCCGTGAGCTCATCTGCTCTTTTCTGAGAAAAACAAACAAACAAAAATCTGTTCAGCCAGCGAGACAAGCATCTTCTCTCCATTTCACCAAGTGGTGAAGAGAAGTGACTAGCCTCCAAGAGCCCCTGAAATTCTTCTTCCTCCTCCAGGAAGTCTTCCTGGACTACTCCACCTAGAAGGGGTCTCAGCCTCCTTAGGCAACAGGGAGTCCTGCCCTACCTGCTACTACCCGCCCCCCCAGCTCACATCCACCCCTGGGCCCTCCCATGTCCAGCAGTGGCCCCTTTCGGGCTGCTCAGGGACAGTGTGTCTATCCAGTTCTTTCTCTTTTTCCTCCACTGGATTCAGCACACGTTAAGTGGTCCCTAAATGTTTGCTGATTGCCTCAGTTGCTTTACCTGTGGAAGGGGTGATGGCTTCCCTCGAGGGCTATGCCCATCTGTGAGCCATGGGCACCCAATGAGGCCAGGCCCCAGCCAGGCTGTGGTCCAGGAGCCAAGCCTTGTTGTCGCCGAGCACTGTGCCCTGAGCCCTCGAGGGGAGGGGCGGCTGGCGCCAGCCTGCGGCGGAAGCAGGACAGGTAGCACTGTGTGAGGCTCGGCCCGCCCTCCACCAAAGGGTGTCTTGTTTACAAAACGGCCAGGCTGTACCGCTCAGTGCGCGGCAGGGAAGGAAGGAAAGAACGCGGGCGGGCGGGCGGGCGGGCCTGGAGCTCCGCGCTGTGGGCACCGACAGCTGCTCGGGCCCCCTCCTCCCCCCAACCCAGACGGTTCTCACAGAACCAGAGCCACGCTGGAAGGGACACTTCACAGCCCGCTGCCGTTTCCCCATCCTACGGCAGGCTCTGCACATCTTGCCTGACAATTAAACTGGGTTCACGTCATCTTGTCCTTTAGAAGGTTGAATCCTCGTTCAAACCGGGCCCTACTCAGGCTTCTCCCCGGAGTCATTGGCCAGGCAGCGCCAGTGCCCCCATGCTCTCTGCCCTCCCGCCTGCCCTGTCCTACCTGGGAGCCCTGACAGTAACCCGTCGCCCCCCGCCCCGCCCAAGCAGCTTCTCCGCACGCTGCCCGTGGGCTCCAGGGTGGGCGGGGCTGCCCCATAATAGCAACGCTTGGGGCCAAGCAGGCCTGGGCATCGCGTATCTCCTTTCTCACATCCTTTCTCCCGGTTTCGGCTGGTGGGGAGTTTATTGCCCTGAAATACAGGTTCTAGCCCTGGCCTGCCTGTCTCTGCACCTGTCCAGGAGGCCTCTGCGAGCCCTCCCCATCCGGGGCACCCCCGGAGCAGGTGAATGCCGGGGCCCAGGCTCCTGATCGCCCCAAACCTGGCAACTCCCTCGCAGCTGCTCCCAAGGTGCCTCTTCTCACCCACAATCTCCTTTCCTTTCCAGCAACTCAGCGTTCTGTTCCCAGTTCACAGGCGAGGCTCTCAGGCCCAGCGAGGCAGAGACTTGCCTGCGACCCCCTGGCTGGGCGAGGCTGCCTTCTCTCAGGAGCCCTCCCCACCCAGCGCCTCTGCACTGGGACTCACACCAAAGTCCTATGGTCCAACGGGGTCCCCACCTCCCCGAAAAGCACCTTGACAGCCGGCCCTGGGACCTTGGGCTCGCCCCTTGCAGCTGGGCCGTCGGGCGCAGGGCCATCCCACAACAGGCCTGCAGCGGGGCCCGATGCCACGGGCTGGGAACCTGGCCAGCCGGGCTGCCTGGGGCGACCTCTCCCTGCCACCCCACCCCCGAACATCTCAGCGGCCCTGTCCCCTCCCTAGCCTTTGCCTCAGGAACCTCCTGTCCTGGCACCTTGGGTTCCCCCACTCCTTGCCCCGAGCCTACCCCTCCCAGACAGGACAAGCCCTCTGGCCCAGGTGCCTGCTGACATACTTCTGCACCAACTCGCCTTGGTGAGGACTCCATTTCCCCCCCAGATCCACGGCCCCGGGCCATGTGCACTCTCCACCTCGGACCGTCCTGAGCTCAGAGCCACACACCCCCCAGCACTTCGGCCTCCCCGCTCTGGGGAGCGGTTGTGTCTCCTGGACCCGTCTGGGCCCAGACCCAGGGCTCGGCTAGGTCCCCACCCTCAGGGCCTGTTGGACCTCAAGGCTGAGACTCACTCCCAAACCCTCCCATCCTTCCCCTTCCCCCGCACCCCCGTGGTGGCCCATGGCTCGCTAATGTCTCTCAGCGTCCGCCTCCCCTTGCACCCCTGAGGGTCTCCCCAGACCACCCTCTCCGGCTACCTCTTAAAGTCCAACAAGGGTGACAAACCCCTGAAACACCAGGGCTGGCGGGGGCTCCTGGGCAGGACGGGTCCCTGAGCCCCCGTTCGGGAGCTGGGTCAAGCGGCCTCCTCCGCAGGTCACCCTGTAGGCACGGGGGGTTTAGACAGCTGGGAGGGCCAGAGCCAGCCTGCGACCTGGCCCCGTTGCATTTTCAATTAGCCTTTTTGGAAGCGAACATGGGAGGATGACGAACAAAGGAAGTCACCTCCGTGAGGGAAGAATAACTCAGCTGGAGGAGGAGGACCCTCACCCCGGCTGCGGTGGGGTTGGGGGGGAGGGGGGGTTCCGGAGAAAGCTCTGGGGCTGGCTGTCAACCAGGATCCAGGAGAACTCCCTCCTCAGGAAGATGCTGGCAGGGGGCAACGTTTCCGTGACCCAAGAACGAACGCTCCCCCCCAATCTTCCCCACCGCCCGCCCCCCGGCAGGAGAGCCAGGATGGACACACGTAAACAGCCGTGTGGCTGAGAAACTCTTGCTCTTGGCCCTGGGCTGTGGGCAGATAGAGGGGCTCCTGGGTCCCCCGCTTCCCAAGGCCGCGGCTCTGCAAAGCAGCAGGGGGTAGGGATGCTCAGGGCAAGATGTGAAGGACCCTGCACCCCCTCCCCCCAGCCAGGACCCAGCACCCGCCTGCGCCTGCGCTGGTGAGGCTGGCAGGGGTCAGCCCGATAGGGCTGGAGGGTGTTCACGGTGTGACAACCACGCTGACCTGCTGTGCCTCGGTTTCCCCTGGGCACACAGAGTTCCCCGCAGGCTCGAGATGTCTGTGTGTGCTCAGGGCTCACCTTGCCCCCGTGGGGCCAGGTCCCCGTGGGGAGACGGTAAGCACTGTGACCTCTGTCTCCTGGCCTGGTGACGAGGCCCAAGCAGCCCACCCTTGAGCATGATGCAGGCCAGGCAGGACTTCTGCCCTGACCGGGGGCGACCCCGAAGCCGGCACCCCCCACTGCCCCAGACGAGACACAGCCCGCGGGGCACACGGCGCAAGCGGCCGCCGTCTTCTCAGGGCAGGGACGGTCCTGACGGGCTCACGGCCGGGCTGACGGGCGACTTGATGTGTCTTCCCAAGAGGAGGCGGGGGCCATGGTGGTGGCCAGGGTCCCCGGGCTGGGCAGGGGCAGGACAGGCCCTCGGAGGAGGTGGGGTGGGTGGGATCGGAGTAGGCTGAGGTGGCGGGGTCTCTGCCAGGGAGGGCGTCCACGGGGGCAGGCGAGGGAGGTAGCCAAGCTGGCACCCCGGCCCCCGCTGGCCCCAGCCCCTCCTGGCTCGACGGGACCTTTGTTCCAAGAGCCTCTGGGGTCCCTCCGGCTCTGACAGTCCAGTGGCTGCACTTCCTGAGCCCCTGCTGTGGCCGGGCCGGCGGGAGCTGGGGGGTGACAGTAATGCTCCCACCGTGGCAGGCGCTGCCCGTGCCCTGTTCATCCTCTAAGTGGCCTTTCGAGGCAAACAGCTCCACCCTACCCCAGGACGTCTCAGCTCAGAGAGGTTGGGTAACTTCTCCGAGGTCCCACAGCCCGCAGTGGCCGACTTCCCAGACAGTCCTGGATCCCAGAGCGGAGGCGGACACAGAGAGGTAGAACGAAGCCGGGGCTGAGGTGGAGCCGGTGGGCGCTGGCCTGCAGGACGGATGTGCTCCCAGGGAGGGGTGGCGGGACCAAGGCTCGGAGGTGGGACTGGGCGGCAGGAGTGGCGGGAACGCCGGCAAATCAGGGCCTGTGCGCTGCTCGACTCCTGAGCCCACGAAGCGCGCTCAGCTCCCCTCACACCCTGCGTCCGCCAAGAGCAGCTGCTGGCAGGGGAGGGGTGCCAGGCTCCGCCCTGGGGGCCCCTGCGTCTCAGGCTGGGGAGCTGGTGCCAGAGGGTGAGAGTGCTGGACCCAGGGTACACCCCTCCCCACTCAGGACGAAGCCTGCCAGGCCCAGCCTCGTCCCCAAGGCCCCTTCCCCAGACCCCCCAGCCATTACAGGGACCAGCAGGGCCAGTGTCATCCGGCCTGCTTAGCGCAGTGCTCGGGCGCTGCTCACAGCCTGGGCCAAGCCCCAGAAGGCCGAGGAGCCTCATTTTTCGAGGACCTGGGCTTTCCTGCTTTTGCCTCTCCTGAAAATACCCCTCAACTGGCATCTTCTGCTCCCCGGAAGATTCCAGCACGTTGGCAGGAGAGGGGCCTGGAAGCTGCTGGATGGGATTTAGGTTCATGGGGCCTGATCCTAGGTTGGTGTGTGGCCTTGAGCCACCTGCTTCCCCTCTCTGGTCCCTTCGGCACTCCCGTCCAACGCCGTAGTGGGGGGCCTGCTGGGTGGTTAGGGGATTACAAGCTGCTTCTCCCCGGCCTCCTCTTGGCTTCCTGGGGTACACCCTTGGCACCTGGGAAGCCCCTGCTCTCAGTCCTGTGGCCACCCTGACCTCCGAGGCCCGGCCTGGCCCCTCCTGCTAGCTCAGCCGCCCAGCCTCCTTTCCAGGCTTGTCTGTCTGCTCTGACCTCAGGGCTCCCCACCAGCTGCTCCCTCTGGGAAGGCCCTTCCTGCCACACATGTCCCCGAGGGGCCTGCCTCCTCCTGCCCCAGGCCCAGCGACCCCCTCCTCCCCAGAGCGCCTGTCACCCCCCCCACCCCACCCCGGTTTAGTGAGGGTGCGGCTGAGGGGGGCCCCGCCCACCGAGTCTGAGCCTCTCAGGTCAGGGCGCGGAAGGCGCTCGGTCACCCCTGAGGTCATGCGTGAACGGCCTGCTCTGTGGTTCAAACTGAGGCCCAGTGGTCAGCTGCTGGGGCTGGACAGGAGGCAGCCACTTCCTGGGCTGGCTGGTGACTCACAGTCCTGTTTCTGGGAAAACTACCCCCCCCACACCAGATCTGATGGCGCAGGGCTGGGCCACGTGGGGGCCAGCTGTGGGAAATGTAGCTGTGATTAGGGGCCGGGGTCTGGGGGAAGGGAACTGGGCCCGGGACAGGGATGAGATGCTTGTTGGGACGCCTCCCACCCTCCGAGGCAACTGGGCTGTGCTCCCCGAGCTGCCAGGCTGAGGCTGGGCTGCCCGGGCCTCCCCAGCCATTTTTATCCTAATGATAAAAAAATAAAAAATAAAAAAGACCACACACACTTGGGGTGGGAGACGTCAGGCCCTGGACAGCCGATGAGGCTAGCACCCCTGGGATCCCCCGGCTCAGGGAGGCTGAGAAGCAGCAGAGCAGCCTCTGGCCAGGTCCGGGCTGTCCGGAGGAAACAGGCGGCTGCTGGCGGGGGTGGGGTAGGAGATCCGTCCCCATGAGGCTTCCAGGCCAGAGACTAGATGCCATTTGCTCGGCGGGTCCCTGGACAAACATCCTTCTGGGAAGGTCCGACGGGGCGGGAGGGGAGGAGGGCTCTGGGCAGGTCAGGAGCAGGGCCCAGGCCTCCTGAACAAACAGCTCTCGACCCACGGCAGCCCGGAGCCAGGCCTGGGCCTCCGCTTCCCCATCCCATTTGGCCCCCGTGGCTACCCGCCCTCATCTGCTGCAGGGGACACAGCAGTGGCAGAAGGCTCGGCCACTGCTCCTTTGTGTGGAGTCCGGGCTGGCTCCCTGCCCAGCTGGGGACCCTGGGCAAGTCTTTGTTGTAACGGCGTGCTTGGGTTAGCGTTCACGTGCCATCCACTCTACC